TCACTTATTTATTATTTATTTACTCTTCTCTGTACATTGCATACAAACCAGTTTCTTCTCCCTCCATGCCTCCAAGTCTGTCCCCACCTTCTCTTTTCCCCAGATCCATTCCTCTTTATAGCTGAAAGTTCCCTGCGTCTCTGCCTGGCAGAGGTCAGGACAAATTTCTTTTACCCCTAGTCCCACAGCTTCTCAGACCAAAATAAACACACAGAGATTAAAATAATTTAATCTTATATTAATTAAAACTTCTCAGCCATTAGCTCAGGCCTACCACTGACTAGCTCTTACATTTAAACTCAGCCTATTTCTTTTAATCTATATGTTGCCACATGTTCCATGGCTTTACCTGTTTGCCATTACATGCTGCTCCCTGGAGGTCAGGCTGGTGTCTCCTGACTCAGCCTTCATCTTTTCAGAATTACACTTGTCTGATTATCCCACCTATACTTCCTTCCTGGCTACTGGCCAATCAGCATTTTATTTATCAACCAATCAGAGCAACATGTTCACAGCATACAGAGCTATCACCCATCACCTCTTCTATTTCCCTTTAGAAAAGAGAAGACCTCCCAGGGATATTGCTGAACATGGCATAACAAGTTACAATAACATTAAGCACAAATCCTCCCAGTAGCAAGAAAAGGGTGCTAAGAGCAGGCAAAAGAGTCAGAGACAGCCCCTATGCCTACTGTTAGGTGTTCCACAAGAACGTCAAGCTACAGAACCATAACAGATATTCAGAGGACCTATCTCAGACCCATACAGGGTCCCTGATTGTTACTCCAGTCTCTGTGAACCCCTATGAGCCCTGGTTATTTGATTCTGTGGACTATGTTATCATGGTGTCATGTCCTAGAAACCTCTGGCTCCCACAGTCTTTCCTCGAGATATTCTGCCGAGATCTACTGGCTGCACATAGTGTTTAGCTGTGTGTCTCTGCGTTTGCTTCCATCTGTTGCTGGATTAAGCCTTTCTGATAACAATTGAACTAGGCATTGATATATGAGTAT